AGCAAACACTGCCCCCTCCCGCACCACTGTCACAATAGTTACTATGCTTGAGCCTGTTGTCGCAGCCACGGTGTCAGTTTGGCTCGCTGAGGGTCTTCCTTTTGTGTATAATGCCCTTCCCCAAGGACTGGCTCCTCCGGATACCATATCTAAAGTGCGTGAGAGGTAAGGCTTGTCCTTTTTACTTCTGAGAAGTGTGCTGCCTGAACTTCATCCTTAGGTCACTTTGATTCAATTTGTTACTGTAGGCTGTCATCAAATGGCCCCCAGATCATTAACCAAAATACTGCTTGGCCCAGATTCGTGATTGGTAGCAGATTGAACCATTGCAATTTATATACTTTTTATCAGCTGATAAAAAAAAATAGGTCACCAGATATTTTTCCCTAAAAGTTAATATAACTATCTGTAAATTGGAAATTATATGACAAGTTTCTAGAAAGTTTATGAGGAAAAATAAAATTAAAAGAGAAAAATAAAAAACATAAGCTAGTTCTCAACATATGTTTCATCAAGGTCAAGATATTTTTTTAAGCACTGAAGCCGGCCACCGTATCCCTCATCAGTGATACAGAGGGTTCTGTGTTGGACCGCTTGCGAAGCACATAGTGGGCAGTTGGAAACCACTGGCCACTTCACCAGAGAAAGGTGAAATCTTGGCTCACATAAAAAGTTATCGTTTTAGAAGCCCACTGGGGCAGTTACACTCCATCCTAGAGTGTCACTATGAATCAGGATTGGCTCAATAGCAGAAAGTTTTTGGTTTATTACCTTTGGGCTCTTCAAAAAGTCAATAGCAAAATACCTGGAGCATCACAAAATGCTGTTGCCAGGACCTTTGCTCTTGTGCTTTGACTGAACCACTTCCATCTCCTGGTAGTCGTTGCTTGAACTGTGCTTTGTCTTTGTAATGGTAGTGGTAAAGCCATGTGAGTTAGTTAGTTGTGCCAGCCTGGCCGATAATCACATGTGGGGCTAATTGAAAGGCGGAGGGATAAATGGATGGTGAGCCTCGCCTTTCTAGTTCTCGGATCTCTTGTTTTGTGATGGTTGCACCAGGTACAGCTGCCTTAGCAGTTCCCTGCTTCAGCTTGCAAGATTGACTTCCTATAAGACATCCCCAAGGAGAAGCTACATGTAACTATCCCGATGCAGCCCTGGGTGCTGGAACAGCCGTGTGGAGACCCCTGCTAGTGCTGAGATGCTTGTTCGTTCACTGACTCAGCTTTCCTCCTGCAGTCGGCATCATTGCCTCTGTTTTGTGAGGTGGAGGACTTTGTGGACTGGTGTTGGGTTATGTGGGTTAGTGTTGGACTTGTGGGCTTGGGCAGCATAGGGTTGGGATGTTTTCGTGATGCACATTTTCTTTACATAAAACTCTCTTATACGTGAGTTGCTGTGGATTTGTTTCTCCAAAGTACCCAGACTAATACACCATGTTTCATCTGCTGTTGCAATTCTAACAAGAAATGCCTCAGAATCTTGATCCCACTTGTTTAAAATTTCCATCAAAAGCTCCACTCTTTTCTGTAGATGGTGTGACAGCAACAGTTTGGGTGCCCATTGAACAGAAAGTTTGTTCAGAATTAATGTTTTTCACTCTGAATTGTCTAGGCTGAACCAAATGAGATATCTGTGCCCTGGCAGCACTGTGTGTAGTTGTTGGACTGCTAGCCACAAGGTTACCGGTTCAAATCTACCAGTTGTTCCGAGAAGTTGAGGCGATCTGCTCCTGTCATGACTGACAGCTTGGGAAGCCTGTATAGGGTCCCGATGAGTTCAAATGAACTCTACCAAGTAGGTAATGATATTGTCTGTTGTTGCTGTTGTTGTTCATTGGTGCTCTTCATTTGGGACTCAAACAAGCTCAGTGGTTTCCTCTCAAATGGATGTCGGTGGTCTGACACTTCACACTTCATCTTCATCATCGTGCTAAATGAGTTATCCTTTTGTCAACTGCTGATTTGCTCAGGAGCATTTTCCCTACTAACTTCATGTAAAGAATCCGTGATCTAGCCATTCTTCCACCCTACCTTTAGCACAAGTATGATGTTTTTTTCTTTCTTCCATTGTAGCAGATGTTGCTCTGACATAGAAGCTCTTTGAAATCTGTTCTCTCTTTTCCCCCCCAACATTTATTGTGTGCTTACTAGTATAACACTAGTGTTGCGCTTCTTTTTCTTTTTTTGCCTCTTTTTGTTTGTTTGTTTATTTTTGAACTTTTTTTTAATTGTTTTATTAGGGACTCATCAACTCATACAACATATCACAATCTATACATACATCAATTGTGTAAAGCACATTTGTACATTCATTGCCCTCATCATTCTCAAAACATTT